TTCTCCCTTTCCTGTTGTTGTCCACGTGTCCTCTTGGTTACTATTATTCCGCTGCGCTGTTCCCCAGCCCATGATGATGATGATGCAAATGTGTTATTGTTGTTTTTTTTTCTCGTTGGTTTACTTGTTGCATTGTGCACATTGACATCTGGTGAATGTTGCATCTATGCTGCTGGTTGTTGCCACTTTCATCACTGCTAGATCCTAGGCTGTTCGTGCATTTCACTTTCTGATATGCTACAAATTGCGAGAATTTGGGACCTTTGCAAACCCCCCAACAACGAAAAACTAATTTTCCATTAAATTAAAAATATTTTTTTTTGTTTTTTTTACCCTTGTCTTGGAAATACTAGCGGCCACAAAAACTCTTCAAAAAAAATTGAAAAGGGGTTGGCATGCTCGCAACACTGCACCTTGAACTCACTTAGTTTAACTTCCAAAGTCAGAGCTTCCACAAAAAATCCTAGCCCCTAAAGGGTTGTGGCAACCCAAAAGCATTAACACAAACACCAACATTCAAAAAGAGCAACCCCTGTCTGAAACAACTCTTCCCCCTGTCGTCAAGAAGTTGGCAAGACTAGTACCACAATCCCATGATGGGTACCGGTCGCCTAGTGTGGCAAACCGGCTGAATGGCAAAAATGGAAATTGCATTTTTTTTTTATTTTTTTTTATATCTTTCCCGAAAATGATAACAACGAAATCTACGGGCCTGCCAAATTCCAAACTTCTTTATTCATTCTTTTTTTTATATATTTCACTGTGTTTCTTTCAAGTTCGTTTTTACCTTTCATTATCTCCTTACCGCTACTCCTAACACTATATCATAGTCTGTTGACACTAACTATGGCGCAGGCGGTCATGGGCCTTGAACCCATAACCTCCTGAATGCCGCTGGATTCTTTTACTGAATTCTTCTCAGTGCATAAAATCACTGGAGTTGGGAGTACATTTTTCTGTTGGCCCACACATGCTAGAGTGGCAAAAGTCAAAATCCGCCTAGTCAACGCAGCTGCTGTTTCACAGTCAAAATGCTTCATTTTTTTTCTGATAATTTTTGTTGAAAGATCAGAACCAAATCTATGGACCCTAAAATTTTAAGAATTTCCTATGAATTCTTCTGAGCATGTAAAATTACCAAAGTTGCTGCTTTCAAAGTGCCTGACTGGATCCACCTGTCACAAACAGTCACCACTGTGACGAAAAATAATATGCCGGCCCTAACTCACAGGGAACCAGGTTTTGCACAGTGAGGGAAGTGGTGGTTTAATACAAAGCCTTACCTCTTAAGCATTTGACTTGTACCAGCTATGCTGGACACCCTGAACCCAATCCCTTAAGCCATTACCTCCAATCTGACATATTCGACACATTCATTTTTTTTCCCATGTTCGCACTTTGACTGATTAACAAACGGATAGCTGAACTAAGGTCACAATATCACCATGTTGTTGTAATAATACTTACACCAGATAGATGAAACTTGACCAGTTTTGGTGGAGGTTCAGGAGAACCAGGAGGAGTCGTATCTTGTTGATTTTTGTGATCATCAAGAAGTTCCTGTATTTCCTTCTGTGCCCTCTTAAGCGATGACATGATCTTTGAATGTGCTGGGGACTTCCCCATCCCACTGAATGCAAGCACAATGGACCAGAAGATAGGAGGTGACCTCCAGTGGGCGGCATCAAGGATGACATTTGTACGTGATCCCATCAACAAGCCGCAAATTGAGATGATGGACGGAAGAATCATCCATGGTGAACATGCAGCCTCCAAGGCAATAGTCTCAATGAGATCTGTGAAAATTGGAGGAAAATTTGTCTTGATATCTGGCAGACTGCTTGCAGCCTTTCTAATCAGGCATCCTAGTGCCTCTGCACTTGGAAGCTCACTCGCGCTTGTTCTACGAGAGTTTGAGCGTGAACCCATTGTTCTTCTACGAATTGCTCGGTCAATAACAATTTACACAATGGCAGACCAACAGCATGAGTGTTTGTTAAGCTGGGAATACATGTGGGCAACAAAAACTAAAAAGTGCCAATTGTCTATGTGTGTGTGTGTGTGCGCGCACACACACACACACACAAATTTTTAAATCAAGTACATAGGGAGGGACGACTGCAAGGAATGACATAACAAGGGGACGCACAGTGTGACAACCATGCACTGAAGCAGAAGGGAACACCAACAACACAACCACACAACAAGGGACTACAAGCCGAGCGGACAAGCAGCCCACCAACCAGGCAGTGAAGCACAAGGCAACACCAACAGGGCAAGCGATGCACAAGGTATGCAAGCAAAGGACACGGAATGCATGGCTTGCGGATAGGCAGAAATGCAGCGTAGCTGCGAAAGCGCAAGGCAACACCAGCAGCACAGCCACACCGCAAAGCAAACACAGAAGTTGCAGAGAACCGCATGTGAAGCAAGCGGGACAGGCAGCAAAGAGGCGGTAGAGAGGAGACGAGGCAGTGCATACATCCACACACACATGCACACACAATCAGCCTTGTGATTAACTAGCACCCTGTTGTCCGCTTGCAAACGGAGCAACAGACACACACACACACATGGTCTCTCTCTCTCTCTCTCTCTCTAACACACATACACACATACAGACACACACACATACACACACACAAAACCAAAATCAGTCTCATTCCCACCCTCTTTGGCTTTATGAAGGGCCAGAAAACAGTTGAAAATATTCGAAAAAAGATTTTTTTTGGAGGCGCAGCCAATGCAGCAGCTGACACTGCAGGCACAACACCATCTTGAGCTCGAGGTGCTTTACCAGGAGCAGGAGGAGCAGCTCGAGCTGCTCAGAGGGGTTTTCAGGGTCTACTGCACCGCATCAGTGTCATGTGCAGCACCTGGAGCTGGTCACGGGTGTTTGGAGTGTTTACTGCACCAGCTGCAGTGCCATGTGCCTTCTGGCACGTGGCCCCTGCTGCACTACAGGCAGATAACCCCATGGAAAAAATAAAAATTAAAAGTTTGAACTATGGCGAAATCACAAAAACAATTTGAAATTGCGCTTCAGGCATTCCCCCCAACATAACACACCCCCATGGCACACTATTGAAACCGAAACCTAGCTTGTATACATTCGACATTTTCAGGCCTTTTGCCTGAGGCGCATTTTCAAACTCAAAGCATGGTGCACAGTAGTTTTCCCAAATAAAAAACAGAAGAATGAAAAAACGATTAAAAAATTAATTCTGCAGCAGTTGCATCACCGAGAGAAGTTACGTGAGGTACTTTCCTGGCTATGGTGGACACCATCTTCATCACCTTGTTAGGCGCTGCATCTGGAAGGTCTCAGTTGGGGTAGTGTTGTGCCAAGGAGCGTTCAAGGCAGAGCAAGGCATGACGGCATGCAGTGGGCATAGCTGCTTTGTGTTGTCTTTTGCACATCAGGGCAGGGCCCTTAGTAGTCCACCATAGCCTAGCCCTGCATGAGGAAGAAGAAGAGGGAGGCCATGGCTATGGTGGAGCTCTTGTTGTGCTGGCCATAGCCTAGCCCGACAAGTCTGAACATAAGACACAATTAAGGGGAGCACAGGATGGAAACGAGGAACAAACTCGATGACCCAACGACATTAGCAGACTTACACAATGTGCAGGCTGGCCTAGATTGCAGACTGATGAGACAAGTCTTGGTTCTGCTCTCACAAATTACATTGACACATAAAAACAGAATAAAAAAACTATTTGGTTGGCCCCACAAATTGCCAGTTTCAGACTCTTTCAGCGGACAATAATTCTCTGTCTCTTATAGTACATGTGAGAAGGTTGTGGATATGTCCTTTTGTCCACACACGCATCTGTAGGATGAAACTACTGACTCTCTGTTTCACCACTGAAACTAATCAGTCTTTGTGTCACTGCAGAAACTAGTCATTGTGTGTGTCACTAGGATGAACCATATGAGAGATATCCATGTCGTGACCACAGTTAGTGCACTTTACAGTTATGATATGTGCAGTCTTTCGTTTCTTTGGATCTCTCACTTCTTCCTCTCTGCTAGATAAACTACCAAAGTCTTTATGTATAATGCGGTTCAACAATCGTGGCCTAGGTATACCAGGAATCGTGACATTCTCGTCCACATTGCCAAAAGTGTCAGAGTAGTCTTGTAAGATTGTGACAGACTGGGAACTGCTTGACAGCTCTTGCCTAATGTTCTCACCAACAATCAGTGCAAAGTGATGCAGCACACCTCCTCTACGGGACTTCCACGTTTGACCAAAAAAATCACACCCTCCATAAGTCTCGATATGAATTGTCACATTTGGAGGATCTAAACTTTCTATGCATGATCTCATTGTGCAAATGCGTTATGGGTCTTTTGACTGGTGATCGTACAAACTGCACAGAGCTCCCACCTCTGACCTGCGCATTCTTCTTGCATTGTGATAGATTCCACCTTTCGTAAACCGATTGTCATTCCTCTGTTCTTATCTAACATCAGTACAACAAAACCATCATCAGTATCTTGCAAAAGAGGAATTTCTGGTTGGCTATCAGCCGCCATATGTCAGAGCAAACTGGAGGACTCTCTGATCAACCGACCAGCGTAACGATTTTCACCTTTAACAAGATTTTGATATCCAAACTTCAGTAGAGGTAACAACAACCAAATGCGCTATGTCCTTGACGACCTACACATACCCACCATCACATGCAATGCAATGAAACACAAACACATGTTAGCATAACTGAGCTTCGTATCAGAATTGCTTGTGGACTACTTTATATCTAAACCAAGTGTGAGGATTGAGCCCTCAAAGGGGCCTTCCAACATGCATATGTTTTGGGCATAGGCCCCCAGCAAGCCTCGTGCCGCCGTAAGTGAAGGCGGGCCAGAATATTCACAAGAGACCTTCATTCAGCATTTCACGAAGTGGATATCAGACAGTTGCCGCACGCCAGTTGGTTGGAGTGCATCTTGGGCCTCAGACTCCTGCAAAGCAGTTGAGCCCAGGGCCTCGGTTGGTTGAGCCCTGGGCAGAGGTGTGAGAGGCCGACACATCAAATATTGGTCCCTGGCCTCAGAAAAGCAGTATTTTGTCATTGAGGCCGAGGAAACCAATGGGAAATGAATACAGGGCCTGAATCTGGACAGCGGCCCTGGCATAAGGGCCGCAACTGTATTGCCTGGGCCCCACCTGCATTGGGCCCGGGTACAGGTACTGGGGCCCAGTCGCAGGCTCGAAGCAGACCGCCGACATGCAACACTGGCATATAGCCAGAAGGGGCGAGTGGGCAGGGATCTTGGCCATTGCTAGCAAGGCCTGCACGCTGCGCGTTCGCGAAGTGCTGCGCTGCGCTGGGCTGAGGTACAGGCAGGCCAGCGCTATGCGGTAGAGCGCTGCCTGGGCACAGGGCGCTGGCGGGCATAGCCGGGCTGCCTGTGGGCGCAGAGGAGGAAGGGCGAAGGTGGTTCTTCGGAGGTGAAAGGGCACTGTGTGGAATAACAACGGAGAGTGAGGGTCAAGAGAGAGACGTACCTGGTGGAGAGGAGAGTCGGCATTGGTGTTGACGTCATCACTCGCTGGTCGTCAAGTTGTCTGGTTGCTTCCATGCTGTAGTTGTAGATATAGGCTGTAGAGTAGATAGGGCGCCAGGCGCCATTCAAGAGAAAGAGAGCTACATTGGGTTATGCTGTTGGTGTCGCCCGCTTGGGCTTGGACATTAACTCACGATTCTGCTGCATCATTCTCAGATGGATGGTTACTTGGTTCCATTGTGCTATCTGCTCTTGCTTTGACTACTTGGACTTCAGTGTGATTTTGCGATTTGGATTTCTGTCCTTCGTCCACCCACATGTTCCTTGCACAAGCTTGCCGTTGTTATAGAAACCAAAACAACATCATGCTTAACCAGAATGCAATTTTTTATAGCAGTACAGGTGCAGATATAATAAACGTACGTTACATTCGGGGGAAGACGGTTATTCTGTGCACTACAGGCACTACCGCGAGGTGGACTGTCAGCACGGCATCACACACATTGTGCAAAATAATAGTAAATCTTCCGCTAGAACATGAGAAGATTCATCCCCGTTGATCTTTACCCAGTCGGGCCCCGCACCTGTGCATAGCCCTCAGCCCTGCTTGAATATAGCGGGCAAAAGGACAGAGGAGAAGGAGCTTGAGGAACAGGATGAACGATTAAAAAAATAAATATAAAAAAATTAGTGAGATCAACAACGAGGGGAGAGAGAGAGAGAGAGAGAGAGAGTGAGAGAGAGAGAGAGAGAGTTCTTTTCTCGGAAGACATTAACAATGAAAATAAGCTGTCAGCAAAAGCACCTCCTCACACTCCACCCGCATCTCCTTCTCCCAGTCCCCTTCCATGTCCGCCCGTGCTGTCTGCACCTGATCAAGATGATGACGCGATGAGTGTGACTGGCTACGTGTCATGTGAGCAATCACAACAAAAAGAAAGGAAATAATAATAACTAGGAGAAAAAAGAGGAAACTACCTATATATCCTCATAGAGAGCTGCACAGTGAAACGATGCCAAAAAGGGAGAAGACTCAGAGGACAAGAAAAACAAGGGAGTGTAAGATGCTCTTTCGTCAAAGTTTCTGGGTAGCACATAGAACGTGAACCGGTGAGAGGGTAAGAAACAACATCTGCCTCTCTCTCTCTCTCTCTCTCTCTCTCTCTCTCTCTCTCTCTCTCTCTCTCTCTCTCTCTCTCTCTCTCTCTCTCTC